CGGTTAACGATATTTTTTCACTCCAGAAGTATGTTCAGGTGCCAGTACTGACCGAATTTGTTCCCATAAGGAATATTGTGAAGTAGATTAGTCCATTTCAGACCCCCAAACATACACGTACAAACGCACTTACATAAATACACTTACATAATTGGTCGCATTCGGAGGTGATCGTTATGCGGGGGTCCACTGTATATCAATAAATGGTTCCCTTATTACAAGACACACTGAGGGTAAATTTCTAGGTCTTCACCTTGACTGTAATCTTAAATTTCATTCCCGTGTCCAGGATATCAAGAAAATTTCCAAACCACTAGGCATCCTTTCCAAGATACGGTACTATGTATCCCAAACAACACTCCTTACCCTATACTAATTTTTTAATATATCCCTTCCTCACCTATGGTATTTGTCCCGGGGATAAACCACAGCCAACCTCCAAAAACCTTTAATACCCAAAAAAAGCTGCTGGTGATATACCAGCTTCTGTACCAACAGCACCCCCCACCATTTTCAGAACCTGAACCTACAAATAAAAGGCATACCTCACATATGTGCCTACATGAACAGAACACTAAACCCCAATAAAAAACCCTCCGTTTAAACAGAAAGCACGGTCGCATACAAACACAGGGCACTCTTTAATCCCTCATTCATCTCACACATGCAAAAAAACAGTGCACAAAAAGGGCCTGAAGATCGGGAATTTCACTCCCGAACGGAAAAGGACCCCTGACTACATAAAAATTTGGGGCTGTATTTTAAAAATACTCATCTCCAGTACTAACAAACCAAACCAAAAAAACTTCTAATCAATTTGAATAACTCCCCTAAATATAAATTATAGGGCCTCTAGTCTATTAAAACATCGCCAATCCATAAAATTTACTGTTTAACCAAAAAGTAATATTTTTTTTTTTATGTGCAACTTCAAGTTTAATTATATACAAACCTCCATTTTGCTCCTCGCATTGATTAAATAAAGTTTTTTAAAATTAACCACTCTTACTTTCTAGACTTAACAGTTTTTTACTAGATTAGTCTGCCTGAAATGCCCCACATATAGTGGCTTTTTTTTGTCTTAAAAATAAAAATTGAAATTTAAAAACATTTAAAACCTTTTGCAAAGAAAAAAAAATTTTTTTAAACTTTAATTTTCAGTTTAAAACTTCCCTTTCGGCTGTTCCTCCCATGCCCAATGTTTCATAGAAAAATTTGTTTTATGCCAGAAACCTTCCACTTCATATCATACATAGATGAAAAAATCATGATATCTTCAATTGAAGCTTTTTGCAATATTTTAAAAAAAACATCAATTGTTTAAAAGAACTTTTTTTTTTAAAAAGTAATACAAAAATTAATAAAGTACAATGGGAAAACTGTGTTTTAAACAAGGACTTTGATTTTCCTGCTGTAGACAGATAAAAGAACCCCAAAAATACCACCGTCCCTAACATTCTTCTTTGCAAAATACAGGGGCTAAAGCCGCAACAAACAAACAAAAAACCTTTTACCGGACTGCTTGCAACAAAGGCAATGTTCGCGGCTTTCCCCGAACCCACAAAAGGGCACGGCAACGAAAAGGGGCCCAGGTTACAAAAATACAGATGACAGGTAACAGGCAAAAGGGGGGGGGGGGGGGTTTTCCTGACATTGCAGGTCACTTGTTTTCACGAACGCTTAATGCCTCAAATGATTAGTGGAAGTTTTTTGCAGTAAAGGTCAGAACCCAAAAACCCATCATTGTGGATCTACAAGCCTCCGGGTGCAACCCCACAATCCAGAACGCTGTTAAAAATTTACCACGTCGGAAAAACTTTCCCGCTCCTGCCCGAACACTTGCTCCTGGGGTTTCAACTTAAGGCACCTAAATGGAATATAGCAAAAAATATTGTTGCGAATAACCCAGGAGGGAGCTCTGATGAAAACTCACACCACACACTTTAAATCTCTGCACAAAATTTAAATTTTAAAACCCCAATAATAGAGCCACTGACTGAGAATACACTAGACCCATCTTCACTAAAATATGACTATAAGAAAGTCACCAACAAAAACAATATACTCAATCACAAATAATTGAGTTCAGACATGTATCGTGGGGCCCCAAAACCCACATAATAACTAGTCCAGGAGCATTCACCAAAAACTTCAATAACAAAACATAAATGGGACCAATAAACCAAGTCCTAACCGATATAAGCTGGGGAAAATATACTAAGCAACACAGACCCCAACTTATGCCTAGAAAAGATTAAATCGGTGGCACTTGATTATGCACAAACTTAACCCTAAGAAAAAGGGGGAGTAGATGTAAAATAAAAAGAGACAGGGGCTCCCTTTTCAGGGGAACGAAAAGAAAACGAGCGGCTAAAAGATCATATTCTAAATGCGTAGGGAACACTGGTCAGAGAAATAGCAAGCATCGAACTTAACTAAAAGAACCTTTGGATCCCCAATCGCGGGGAAAAACTAAAACCATAAATGAAATCGAAAGAAACCCAAGGTTTTTTCTCTCCTTGCCAAATCAAAATCGGAACAACGTCCATATTGGGGCCCCCACTTTAAAAAAATGGGGCCTACACAATGACAGCAAGGGAAAAGAGTGAGCTACTCAAATCCCAATAAAACTCATTTTTAGCAACCGCTAACCCAAATGAGAGTCGAAAAAAAAATGAATTTTTATGAAGAGCCACAAAATTTATTAACACAAGCCTATCCAGTTACCGACCCCAAATACTCGAACGGGCGATAAAGACATGCCCTGCCTCTGCCCCAGGGCAACTCAGGAACCTGTGTTCATCAAACTGCAAGAAGCCCCTACACACCTTTTTTCCCTCCAAAAATGGGAGGGAGCATGGACACGGGGCGTCCCCCCTTACTAAAAACAACAGACATACCCCCACTCCAAAAGGGGCAGTAAAGCAACACAAAGAACTACAGACCAATAGCCTAACACCCCATATCAAAAAAATCTTTGAAAGGGCCTAAAAGCAAGATCACCACCCATCAAAACCCTCGTTTCACAACCCAGGGGAACAGGGGTTTTTAACAGGGCCTCCGTCTGCCAACTATGGACACACGACAAGTCCAAAAGCACAAAACAAAAAGAATTTCGAGAATATAACAGACTTGCAAAACCTTCACAAGTTGACCAGGCGTAATAGCGCACAAAATCGTGCAAAGGAAAAACAGGAAAGTCGGGCATGGACTATAATTTCCCCCACAACAAACCAGAGAGTATCACAACAAGTAAAGTCCGAGGGAGCTACGGGAAAAGCGCTGTTTTCCCCAAGGGACGTACTCGCTCCCTCTTGTTTCCCCATCCCATTCCGACTAGACAAGGGTTCAGCCACAGCCCCCCGTCTTCCTTTGCAGATGACACCCGAATCTGCATACATGTCTTCCCTTGCAACACTGCAAGGCCCAGCGGCTCAAACCAAAACTTTCAGTGGGCTCGGAAAACTAAAGTTCAACGTGAAAATTTCAATTACTCAGATATGGCAAACAGAGGAAAATTTAAAACTTTATCAAGTACAAAAAAAATTCGGCCACAAAATAGACGAAACACCAACTCAAAGACCTGGGAGTGATCTGTCGGGGGACTCACCTTTAAAAACCATAACATTGATCAATCGCATCTGCTAGAAAAATACAGGATGGATAAGAGAACCTTTAAAACTGGGAGGCCAACCCCGATGACACTCTTCAGGGCACTTTTCTATAGGCTGGAATATCTGCACACTAACAGCACCTTTTAAGGGAGGTGAATTTCCGACCTAGAAAATGTACAGAGAACTTTTACGGCGCGCATACACAAAAAAACACCTCAATTACTGGACGCTTGAGGTTCCTAAAACCTGTATTTTCCCGGAATGCAGGAGGGGGATACAGATTTTATATACCAAAATCCCTTTAGGGGCTAGTACCGAACTTGCACACAAAATCCCACTACGAAAAACAAAAAACTTGGCAGACGATGCACCATCCCCCCAAGAAAAACAGGGGGGTTTACTCACTAAGAGATCATACAAAAAGTGTCGGGGCCAAGACTGTTTAACTGCCCCCCGCAACATAAGGGGGATTTCCAACAACCCCGACAGTCTCAAGCTGGCACTGAAAAAAGCCCTAAATCAGTTTTCCCGATCAGCCGGGCTGGGCTCGTACGTTGGTTTGCGTGCACCGCACAACACCGGTTTTTTCAGGGTCTGATCCCAGGAGGCCTGGTCACAGACCGGGCCGCGGGGCGTTGACCCCCGGAACTCTCTCCAGGTAATATACAACTGCTAATAAATGCTGGTAGCATGAAATTAGTAAATTTCCTTTGCATGATGCACAAAAATTACCTGCACCTATATTGCTTCAGTAATATTCAACTTTTTTATACAGCATATTGGTTTTAGCACATAAAAGGCCCTAAGCTCTGGAATCATTGCCTGAACCAGCAAAAGGTCCCTGTCAGCCAATTTATTTGGTGCTATGGTTAAAAATCATCTTATCTCTCTAACATAACTAAACCAACACTAAGCAATACCAAACAAAACCAGCTTATCCAACTCTATCTCCATTCTCCAACTCCTCCCCAAACTTCCCTAGAAAATTAATTACTCGCCCTGTACCATTATAATTCTACAAAAACCTAATAAACTTCCTATTTCTTTAACCATCCCTTATAATCACTCCATAGTTTGATGACAGAGCCAGTTTGAAACTGCTTAAGAAATTCCACTTAACTTAAGATCACAGACCCAGTTAAAGAATTAATGTATACTTTAACTTGTTCTATTTTCATTTAGATACCTCTCTTCTCTGTATTAATGCTTACTTAAAATTGTCCTATTGTTCACTTACCTTCCTCACTTTTGTAGTCTGTAAGCATTAGTATTAATCTACCTGAAATGCACCACATGCTAGTGGCTTTGTTTTGTGCTCAACAATATTTTATTACCTGTAAACTACAGTCTATAACACTATAGAAAGAAATATTTTTTTTTCAGAGTGAATGCCTTCAAAGAGATGGTAGTGCAGCTAGCTACGCTGCAAGTAAATATTCGTGCCCAGCACAAGCAGTATGGATTACACTAAGTCTGTCATCCAGTAAGTTTTTCTTTGTGTAATCTTCTGGTTTCTCCTTTCTCAGCAAAAATAAATATCAGGGGCCCAAGACTGTTCAGCTACCTCCCAGCATACATAAGGGAGATTACCAGTAGACCCCCTGGTGTTTTTCAAGAGAGAGTTGGACAGGTACCTAAAGTCAGTACCTGACCAGCTGGGCTTGGTTGTATGTTGATTTACATGTGGCTGGCAGTTAACAGCCTGGTTGATCAGGCCCTGATCCACCATGAGGTCTGGTCTATATGTACTCCCTCCCTCTCTCCTTTCTGTTATGTGAGTCTGTAAATGGTCCAAGTTGACCGAAACGTCGTCGTAAGCTCCTCTCTCCTATGTGCAGGTTATTTGTATAAAGTATTAAGAGCAGATGAAAGAGTGGGAGAGGCACTGTCAAGAAATTTTAATGAAAATAAGAAAAAATTTTGGAGTGAGTTAAACAAGTTAAGAAAGCCTAGGGAAAGTAGGATTTGTCAGTTAAAAACAGAGTAGGGGAGTTAGTAGATGGGGAGAGGGAGGTATTAGGTAGATGGCGAGAATATTTTGAGGAACTTTTAAATGTTGAGGAAGAAAGGGAGGCGGTAATTTCATGCACTGGCCAGGGGGAAAAACCATTTTTTAGGAGTGAAGAAGAGCAGATGAAGTGTGGGGAGGTCTGAGGCTTACGTAAATGAAAGGGGTAAAAGCAGCGGGAATGAGGTCATACAGAAATTTTTTAAAGCAGGGGGGAAATAGTTTGGAGGGGTTGGTACTTTGTTTAATAACCCTTTCAGGGTCCGTCCCCGTAACACGCTTTACTTCGGGGTCCAAACCGAATCACGCCATGACTCGCTCACTCGATAAATGTGAGGGGGTACATTTGGGCCTAGAAAAGGAATACATCTATTGTATTGTGCACCCATAAAACAGATCCGCAGCCACTGTGTATAATAGAGAAAAAAATGAAATCATGATTTTCTTTAAAAACACAACTTTGCAGTTTTTTTTCGTATTTTTTTATGTTTTTTTTGCGATTTTTGGTCTCATTTGATAAAGGAAGACATTTTACAAAAATAAGGATTTTTTTTTGATTGGTTTTGCATTAAAAATGGTTGAAACGGGTTTCAAAGTAACTTTTTGCTTCTGATGACCAGAGTTTTGGTAAGATGGGAAAGGGAAAAGGAGGGTAAGGATGGAAATTTTTGGAAAAGGGTGGGGGGGGGGGGAGAGGTGGATATAAAAGGAAGGGGCCACCCTTGGTGAAATTTAAAAAGTTAGTGAATTAAAAAGATATTTTTTAAAGGGGTTTTAATACTAACCCATCAATCACAAAAAATTTAATAGGTATATAATAATCCCTCTAATTGGTAGTAATTTACAATTTGAAATTGTTTTTTTTTTCGCGTTTGCACAAGGGATTTTTATACGACAAAAAGGCAATAATTTTCTGGCAATTTAAAATTTTGTGACAATAGTTTCTTAAGGGTGGATCCAACAATAGTTAATAGCAAATTTTACAAAAAGAAATTTAAAATTGTCTCCCAAATTTGGGGGCATGTTTTTCTCAGTATACATAGAAGGTTTTCTGGGGTACCCAAATCTTCTCATGGGTAAGTTGCTCAAATCAGGGGTCGAGGGATCATTTTTTATGAAAAAACGACGAACCCTCTGTGGGAGAGTTTTTTGAGTCCTGTGAGTGGGTTTTGATGGTAAAATCGGTGGATTTATTTGTATGGATGTTCTCTATCTGGCAGTATGTTCTTGCATTGTTAAAGTTGTTTTTTTTTTAGGGTCAAGGCGTACATTTAGGCAGTAATATCTTTTGTGTGTGAAAATCTCCTTTTTAAAACTCTTCTCTCCCCCGGGTATGGGAATAAAGCAAGAGCTCTATTTGGCCCCTTGTAACCGTACATTTTGGTCTTTTTTTGTTAATGACATTGGGCCCAAAGGATTCGAGTATAGGTCTTATTATATTTTTAACAATTTTTTTTGACATGTTGGGGGGCTTGATTTCGAAAGAGTCTAAAAACCGACTTTGGCTGGTTGATTTTTTTATTTAAGAGATTTGAGGGGAGCACCATCTATTTCATACCCCAAGATCTTTTAGGGTTTCTAAGGGAAAAGGTGTCCCTCTGATGAGATCCCCCTTTTTACTTCGAGGTTGATCAAAACATCCTTCGTGAAAAAGGGACCTTGTCAGATTAGTCGTAATTCCCCATTTCTTCCCCCAATTTTAATTTTCGACGAATTCAATATTCTTTTTTTTTTCTATGACTTTTCATACTTGTATTTTTCCTGTTACTGGGTTGATGAGTACATGAATAACATCATCTCAAACGTGTCACAATTGTTCATTAAACTCGGGTTGGGGAAGGCATTCACAAAAATGTTAAACAAATGGACTAAGAAAAGAACCTTGGGGACCCCAGCGGTCGGAAATAAAAGGTTCTGCGACTTGCCATAAAAGGGGGGGAAAATGATTTTTTTTTGATTAAGAAATTATAAATTCTCTGAGAAAACCCAGTTATGGCTGGTGGGTCAATGGTTTGTATATAAGGCCATCATGCCATAAGCTTCAAAGTTTTTATGAACACCTGTGGCAAAAAGGGAAAGATTGCCCGCTGTTTTAGATTTGCTACAGTGTCAAAAAACTTTTTATTGCATGTTGGTACCTCATGGTTTCTAAAAGCCGAATTGTTTTTCAGTAAACAAGTGATTAAACCCATATTAATTAAATCTTTTGGGAAAAAAGCTTTTCAAGAATTTTTCCCGTGACTTCAAGTAAAGATATGGGCTATAGTCCCGGGTTTGGGGGATGTCCTTATTGGGTTTAGCAAAAAAGATCACCCTAGCATCTTAAAAAAAACTGGAAAATGTCCTGGGGCCCAAAAGGCTTTAAAAGATTTTTTCCCAAAGGATTTTTCAAATTTCTGGGTAGGTACTTTGTTCTGTTATTTCAGAGAGGCCGGGGGCTCTTTTCTTTCTTCCAAAAACCTACTTACCGTAAGTAATAGGCAGTAAGCGGGGGGGTATCTTCAAATTTGAAGTATCGGGTAGGTGGGTTGTAAATCATCCAATTCTCACTTCCTTCATTTACTAACGATAAGTTATTATTAAATTGACACTGTTATTGTGAGAGAGTTTTTTCCCATACATCCCCCATAAAATTTAGCCTGGTCCTGGGATCTAAATTTAATTTCAACATCTTCATCATCCTCATAGTGAAGGTATGAACTAGGTAGTTAGGAACCTTGTGCTTTCCCCAAAAGTTGTCGGATTTACTCCCCAAATTTTTTCTGGGTTAGTTTTTTATTGATTTCTTGAAAACTGAAAATTTTATATTTTCCCTTTGGGTTTACTAAACAGTTAATTAATTCATCCTTAATGTGCAGTGTACTGCTGGTGGTGTCGGTTTGAAGATGCCCTTTGACATTTTGTTTTATAATTTTTTTAAAGTGTCCTAATTTCTCTAGTAATTTAATTTTTTGGGATCTTTTGGAAGCTAATTGGCAAGTTGCATTGTAGCTTCAATTATTCGATTGTGCAGGGACCTGATTGCTCTCAATTGCACTGGAAGGAATTTTTTCCCAAAGACACAATTTCATCCTCACCCAGATACCGAAGGGGGCAAATCCAGGGTGTTAAGATTGGGTTTAGGAGTCAGGTATTCTAAATGGGGAAGTTTTTTTAGTTTAAATTTAAAAGGTAGGCAGAGAAAGGGAGATCCTACATTTCCACCAGGAGAATAGACAGTGAAAGATGTCACAGTCTCGTTTGTCAGTAAAATATCTGGGTTCCCGGATGAGGGCCAATGTACGATTTAAGAATGGCCTTGAAAAGACAAGTTTTTTTCTGTCATGATATTTTAAAAAGTTGTTTTTCCCTTTTTAAATCACCCAGGAATACCCGTCCACAGTTTAAAGAGGGAGGGGGAAGCATTAAATCTCCAGCAGAATGTGGAAAATTTCTCTTAATTTTCCATTAGAGGGAAATTTACTCTATATATGGGGTGTCTCGGGGGAAAATTCCAGTTCCTATTACTAGTTGTCCATCGACTTTTTAGTTCATTGCAAGAAGTTCTTATCCACATGAATATTTTTAAATGTATATCCTAATTTAAACCCAAAATGGGAAAACCACTAAACGTCCTCTCGATTTTCTCAACAGTACGTATCCATAATTTAAAATGTTATCAACTCTTGCACTTCTCGTTCAAAAGTATAAAACGGGATTAAGTTTTGTAGTTCAAACCCCAAGAAGGAAAAGGTTATTAAAGAAAAGTTGAACATTAAGTTGGAAGATTGTAAACCCCATTATTTCTATTCTTGCTCGTACACTGCGTTTGAACGCCTGCAAATAAAGTCATGTGTTATTTCACTATTCCGCGGGCCGTCAAGGGGAGGGAGAAACTTTTGCGTGGGTGCTTGTGTATTAAAATGCCCCCATCTTTACTAAGGCAGAATTTAACAACCATTGAAAGTTAGAGTCTCATCATAAAATAGGTAGCTTTCTCAGTTTCAGGGAACAGAGGCCCTGAGGTTAATGGGACTTTTTAGGCTCCAAAATGAATTTAATAGGCAAGGGAGTTACCTTGGGAAAGTTCCGTTTAACAGGACAGCTACAAAGCGGAGAGTTGGCACCACTTTCTGGGGCATTGTTTTTGTTCAGTGTTATTTCGGGTTGAGAGGATTGACAACCTGGGTTTTTGAGGGGGCGATCCCCCGGGGGAGGGATGATTAGGCTTATTTTTAAATTTAAAATGGTAAACTTTTTGTTATGGAAGGGGGGTCATAATGGGCCCTTTACATTTTTAGGGGTAATGATGGGGGTGATCCCATTTGCCATTAAAAGATCATTTAAAAACCAGAACAGAGTTTTAAAATCACCACCCTGTGTCTTTTGGGCCCCCAAATAATAGTTGTGCTCTCGTTTTTCCCCCTCTTGGTACCTGAGACACATGAGAGCACGAACCTTTTGTTGTGTCTGTTGTAATGAGGGTTAGATGGGGG